AAAAAAAAAAAAAAAAAAAAAAAAAAAAAAAAAAAAAAAAAAAAAAAAAAAAAAAACCATACACTTTAATGGAAAATATTTTTGTATTTTAATCGGTTGAAACTATATATTATAATCCAAAATGCAAAGTTTATTTATGTTATAATACTTGATACACATCAACTTTGTAGAAAAGTAATGGGATTTTCTTTACATGGAAATATGGATAACCTTGATCTCCCACCCAAACAAAAAAGAATAAAATTAAATGGATTAAAAGTAAATGTTAGATGAACACGACTCTCCACAATGATATGATATTATCCACTTTGAGACGTCTACCCTTAATCGAGGCTCGACTCTTTTTTCTTTTGGAGTCTTAGTCATTTTTTACTATGCATTTGAGTCTAACTCCTTTTTTCTTTTAGAGTCATTTGTTTGATATTTTAGGGCATGGACTTTGATACCATATTAGATGAACACGACTCTCCACAGTGGTATGATACTGTCCACTTTTAGAATAAACTCTCATGGTTTTGCTTTTAGCTTCTTCAAAAGGCCTCACACCAATAGAGAGAGTATTCATTGATTATAAATTTATGATCATTCCCTAAATCATAAATTAGCTGAGGTGGGACTTTCATCCGGCGGTAAAATGTCCTAAATAATTGAGTAAATTTTGCAACTCAAGAATTCAAGGGGTGGGGTGGAACATTTTCTTGTAAAAGTTTTGGTGGGTGATAATGAACTTGATAGCCAGATGTGCATAGCAATGCCATGTGGCAAGTCACGATACGTCCACATCAATGACAACGTGTGAACATCTAAAGGTAAACGTAACAACTCAAGCTCATCGTTAGTAGATATTATCCGTTTTAACCTATAGCATGTCGTTATCAGTCTCACAGTTTTAAAATGCATCTTTTAGAGAGAGGTTTTCACAATCTTACAATGATTGCTTCTTTTTCTCCAACCAACGTGAGAGAGGTTTTAAAATTCTCGCTGGCACACCATCTAGTGTCTACCCTCTAATACCATTTGTAACAATCAAAGTTCACCTTTAGTAGATATTGTCCAATTTGACCCATTATGTATTGTCGTCAACCTCATAGTTTTGAAATGTGTCTTCTAGGGAGAGGCTTCCAGATGCTTTTAAAGAATGTTTTGTTTTTCCTCTTCAACCAATGTTGGATCTCACATTAAACAAGAAATTAAGACGTGTTTGATAATGTTTTTGTTTCTTGTTTCTTATTTTTCAACTTATTTTTATTTTTTTAATAACTAGAAACGGGAATCCGTTTGGTAATCTTCCATGTTTCTTCCATGAACGTTCCTCATTTAAAATAAAAACAAACATATTTGATCCGTCTTCCATCCAATTTGATCACAATCACATATGTGAGCGAAATTTACACAAATATTTTATCGACTAAATTAATAAAAATACTCTTAACTTTCCATTTTGTCTTAAAAAACAATATCTTTTTAAAATTTCCAATAATAAAAACCCTTAAACTTACAAATATATATATAATAAATACACTTATCTAAAATTTATATTTTATTTTAAAAATATTCTTGAATTAAAAAAAAAAAAAAAACCTTTTTCAAGGTTAAAAAATTACGTTAATTAATATTTTTTTTCTAAAATAATAAAAAATAATAATCTATATAAATAAATTCTCATATATTGACAATAAAATAAAAAAAATAAAAAAAGCTAAAAAAATTTTACCTCCTAAATTCACGTTAATTAGGCTCTTAAAAACAACCATCAACTCCAAATTAACATGTCTCATATAACATAAACATCAAAAAGATTAGAACAAAATTTAATCAAGACTTAATCATAATCATTCCTAATGCACTAATTACTTAATTATCATATAAAGATCTGAATATGAAAGCGAATATCCACATACTTATGTCTGCTTGTAAAAAAAGAAAGAAGAAGATGGAGATAGAGACCATCCATTATCTTTATAATAACATCATCAATGGCTGCGGAAGCCATTAAAGTACTGCTCCAAGATCACTTTCAAAGCACCAAAGCCAACTCCATTTACACATAATAATAATGATGGCATCGATTTGGAATTTTCTTCAGTAATTCCACACCATGTTGGGATTCAATGCCACAGTTGAACCCGATGGATTCTCTTGATTTTCAAATGGAAATCGACCCATTTCCAGATTCGAAACAACAGAGCAGATTTCATTGTTCATATCATAAATTAACCCTTTTTCTCCCTCTGGTTTGAATGTTCTACCCATGTTTGGGAACTGTGGATTGTATGATGAATTGGGATTTGTGTTTCTTGGGAAAATGGAAGAGAAACTGAAAGGAAAATCAGTGATTTTGGGTAAGGTTCTTTGAGAAGAATCCATGGAGTTGGAGAAGCAGGGCACGTAAGGCGATTCTGAAACTGGTTTGATCTTGAATGAAGATGAAGAACACGAAGAATCCTTCAATGGCGACAGAGCTGAAGAACAAGAACCGTATTTAACTAACCCATAAATATGAACTTTTTTCCCTCCACAGCTCTTCTGAAACACCCTTGAAATAACCCATTCGTTCTGCAGAACAAAAAGAAAAACAGAGTGCTCTGTAATTTCAACGATTCTGAGGGGTAAACAGAGCAAAAAGTTCGTACCTTTGCGGAGTTTGAGAGATTAATGGAAGAGGGTTTGCCTTCTAATCTGAATTCATGCATAACCCAATTGGATTTTTCACCTTTTGGAGCTCTTCCACAGTAAAAAACAAGAGTTTTCTTCATACCCACAAGGGTTTTTCCTCTGTAAATCTCTTTATCTTTGCCAGTGGCTTTCCAATACCCTGATTCAGTGGCTCTGTTCGTTCTCAAACCAGTGGGATATTTTCTATCCCTTAGACAGAAAAAATACCATTCCTTTTCTCCCATTTTCGCTTTCCCTTCAACAAAAACCAACAAAATCAGTGATTTTAAAGCGAGATATAAAAAGGGTATGAAAAAGTTTCGATCTTACAGGGCAAATCCCAGGGCTCAGACTTGTTGAGATCAACCTCTCCAATGGGTTTGCAAGAGAAATTGGAATCCACCACTTTGTTGCAGAGATAATGAGAAATAAGCTCTTCATCAGTTGGGTGGAACCGAAATCCAGGCGGCAAAACAATCTGGGATTCTTCATTAACAGGACATGTCCTGTTTTCTTCCATGTTTTGTTTTTCAGAAACTCAGAGATCCTCGCAGAAGAAAGCAAAAACAGAGAGATTACAGAGAGGAGAGAGAAAGAGGAGAGAGAGAGAGAAATGAAAGTGAAAGAAAGGAGAAAGAAGAAAAGTGAGAAGTTGATTTGATGGAGCGAAAGGGGAGGAGAATGAGAAACATGAAGTGAAGTGAAGCTCCATGAAATAATATGCTCTGCTTAACTGACTTTCCTATTTCACTCATCGTGGCACGCCTCGCCATGCCATGCCCAACTATTTTAACCTACTTTTGACCATAGTTACGCTAGAAACAAAAGTTTCCATATGAGTTCCCGTTCTTTGGCACGGTTGCAGGATCGATTGGAATCGTTTAATTTAGTCTAGTATGATAATATCGTGAGTATGAAAATAATGTGGCTTAAAATCGAAACCTAAAAACTTAGTTTGGTCATTTGAAGCACGCTGCGTGAAAAACTGAGTTGCGGTCAATATTTTTTACATTGTTGCGTGGAATGTAAAAATTCCATTATTTCAGCCCAAATTTCGAAGAAATTGGCCTATAATAGTGTATGTACGTGCTTTACACTGAAATTGTAATTTGGAAACTCTAATTGGGTCGTCCGATGCACACATGTAAAAAAAATCGAGTCACGGAACATAGAATTGATATTGTTGTGGGGAATATTAATATTCGAACAATTCAACTAAAATTTCGAAGAAAAAGAGACAAAAGCAATACAAGCTTAAAATCAAAACCCTAATTTAAAATTCCTAGTTTGAACATTTGAAGCATGCGCGTGAAAAAACTGAGTCGTGATTGATAAATCTGTTTTTTTTTTAAATACGACACAAGAATTCCCATTTTGCCCTTATTTTAAAGGAGAAGTACCAGTGTCGGTTCTTATTCTTCCTCACTGTTTCATTTTATCGTGTTCTTCTTCTCTAATTGAATCTTTTTTAATGATGATTTTCACTTGGTTATGTTCAAATTATATGATCAAACATCCAAAGTTGTGGTCTATTACTTTTCATTAATGACCAAGAAAGAAGAACAAAATACATTAAGGGCAAACATAAGAGTCTATCACCGATAGACTGTCATCACTAATAAATCAGTATAACAACACCTAATCATCAATAATTGTAATTATAATTGAAGTTTATGAGCGATAGACTTCACTCACAATGGTAACCCATGAGCTAAGTATCGACATTACGACATTTTTATTAGATTAAACTAGTATAACAATGCATATAGTTTCTCAATGATACACTACAATCACTGAAACGTTAGTATAACAACACATGTTCAACCATGATTGCAACTGTGATGGAAGACTATTAGTGAGAGGCTACTGTCATTGGTAAACTTCGCTCAAAACGATAGTCTATCAGTAATAGACTCAACTACTAAGCTAATAAGGAGTTTTTAGTCTTTTTACCTAGATTAATTTGTCATATTATAAATAGTTGACCGAAGAAAACTGGTTGTAGCTGACACGATGATAACCTCCAACCTCGTTTCATTGTTTGATTTGCCTACATTTGTTATTATAATGGAATTAAGTTATTATGATGGAATTAAGAATATATTCCCAAGGACATTTTGGTACTTACACTTCATGTTAATTATATAATATAGTATTATATTACTTAAATTAACATTTAGCATAAGAAGAAAATTCAAGTATTGACAAAGTAAAGGGGAATACTTTAGGATAAAACCACCTGCTTTTTAAGAATAAAATGATTATAAAAGAGATGTTAAATAATAATGTAAAACAATTAACTTTATTAGCAAAAATGCACAAAAATAAAATATTCTCATACTTATACGGCACCGTTTCTTTCCATATGAACACAAGAATGTAAAACCAATTCCCAGATTTGGATTGTCTGAAGAGGGCCATTCTAATTTTATTCAAATACAAATAGTATTCAAACTCTGTTCACTGGAATTTTCGAACACATTCGGAGCTCTCCGTTAGGTAATTCCACACAAACCGAACCAAAATCAGATAGTTACGACGAACGTGTCGAATACTCGTTCATATACGTATGTGTATACATTATTCTATGCATATGGTTAGAACAGAGATTCAAGCTAAGAGCTTTTTTTTGCTTTCTTGTCTTGCCAAGCTTTCCTCTCCGCTTCTATCTTTGCCTTAACGCTTGTATGAAAACCTTTATACGGTTCGTATTCGAATAAAGCTTGAAGAACCTGTAAATAGATAACGAATTAATAACATTTTTGAATATTTTGTTGTTATATAGGTCGAACAGGATCTGTTCTATAGGCTGTACAGCTATGTCAAGAAAGTGTTACAACAGTACCATAACGGGTTTGTGCAAAGCTTACCTCTAACAAAACGAAGAATGGAGCCATTAGAAAAGCTTGAGTAAGGTTGTCGATGAGAGCAGGTGCTCGTTTCTTCCAAGTGAAACCAAAAAGCAACGTCCATGAGCGATTAAGTTTGAAAAACAAGTTTAAGGTTTGAGATGTTTAACTAAGTAGTTACCTCGAATACTCCATGACCAATAAACTGACTTGTCCAGCAGAACAACTGTGCAGCCAACACTACCTGATATATTAGATGACAAAATAACCAGCTTTAGCTATAAATTCTGCAATAATTTGAACATGTTACATAGATCCAAGTGGTACTCGAAAGTTTACAGATGTGAAATGAGGGGATCACAGTACATCGAGTCCTCGAAGAAACTCGAAAAGGGTTGTGCCTATCAAGTTATGACGATATCAAAAAAGAAAGAGATACAATGTCAATCATGTTATGTACTGGTGCAGACTTTTGGAAAAAGGTGGCCATAGGTTATCTAAAAGGAATCTCATCTCCAAGCTGGTCCAACACTCAAAAGCTGCAACCTATCTCGTCCCAAATATCAGTCACAAAATGTAACAGGCCAAGCCTACCGATATCAAATATTGTCCTCTTTGGATTTTCCATTTCGGGCTTCCTCTCAAGATTTTTAAAAGGTGTCTAATATGGAGAGGTTTTCACACCCTTTTAAGGAATAGTTCGTTCCTCTCCCCAACCGACGTGGGATCAAACACAAAAACTTTGAGATAATTCTCACAAAAGTAATTTAGATAGAGGCTCAAAATCCCTTCAAAATTGATGTCTATCTAAGTTTAGCTTAGTTCAGCATCAAGAGGACGAGGATGATTAAAGGACACATTGGATCGAAGGAAGGACAACATCAATCAGTGTTCTAAGAAGATCTTTGTAATATAAACCAATCAAGAAAAGACTCACTGCCAAATTAAAGTGTCATTTGAACCCAACCCAACTATTTCTTAGGCATGCGGCATGACTTACTTTACTTGCAGCCAGAAACCAACATTTATTTATTTTTATAAACAACATAGCTAGAAAAGTGTGTTGATAATAAGCACAGACGTTACACGAATTTGATAAACAAATGGAAAGGTGATGTCTATTCAGTTTTAGCTACAACATTTAAAGATCAGTAACAATTGTGAGTGGGGCAACTGATCAGTAAAAATAAGTCTAAACAACAGCTGAGATATCTATTTATAGTTCACTCTGCCATCGTTGGGATCAAACAATTTGCCAGCACAATCTTTCCAGACTTGAATAACAAAAAAGAAAAAGAAATAAGGCCTTATAAGAGCTAGCATATGTGTTCATAGTTCTATAAGAACAAACGGTTTGCCAACATAATTCAACTAATAAATAGGAGCAATAAATTCCACAACAACCATAAAGTCGGAAGAATTAATAAAGCTCTAGGGAACAGAGTTACATAAATGGTTCAAATATTCAAACTCAAGCAGAAACCAGACAACCTAAATAGGGCTATTTAAAGATCTGTGAAACAATTAAAACAAACAAACGAGAATCAAAAGAAGAAAAAAGGGCATTCACCTTCCATGTAAGAGTGTAGCCAAGCTTAAAAGCGAACACACTAGCTCCAACCCAGCAGAGAAGACACATTAAAGCCGCCAAAGATCCAGCTCTCTTATCCAAAAGTACATAGAAAGCGCCATAAATGAAAGCAAAGAGAAACCCAAAATTCAAAACGAGGCCAGTGTTGAACCCACAAGGGCATTTGGGGAGAGAATAGAAAGAGGGGGTGTAGTAGAAGAGCATGAGCGCAGTGAAGAAAATTGGCCAAACAAAGAGAATATGGATGAAAATATTAGTTGGGTTGCTATGATAAGCGCCATAGAATGCAAAATGCCTCTCAAGATCGAACAATCCGCGCCTTCCCATCGGAACTTTTCGAATTCAAACGAGAAATACAGAAAGAAATGGGTGTGAGAAAGAAGCGGGAGATTGAATGGGACTAAAAAGAGGGATAAAGCTAAGGGATTACGAAAACCAGAGCAGGAGGGCACATCGAAATATGTGTAATCGATGTGTGGAATGGCAGGGTTTTGGCATCCGATTTGCAGGTTTTGGACTTCTCTTTTTATATCACGGCCGCGTTTGAATTGGAACAATGGAAATTTGAATGCTTACTACCAAAGGTTGTGAAGAACAGGAAGCTCCCATGACCACAGAAAAGAGGCCCAAACAAGGGCAGGACAATTGAGCGTACCAAATTAGAGAGTTGCAACAGCTCCAAAAGAATTAGAAGGCCAGCGCCAAGACCCATGATGCAACAAGAAATCTAAAATTGGGGCATGATCATCACTGCCCATCTCAAATTGAGAAGGGATCAAACTCGTAGCAGCAATCAGGTAGCCCAAAAATCCAAAACTACAAAACTAGCGGCTGCAATATTAGGGCCACTAAGAGGAAGGTCGAATACTCCAAATTAATTAAATGATTGGATTAAAATAAGTCTGAAGATCATTCCAATATTATCTCGATTGATTCATGTATTCTTCTTTTATCTTCCGTCATGTCTGACCAACTTTTGTCTTGATTCCTCTCCAAACTAAATTCTATTATAAGACGTTTTTCTCTAATATCAATTATAATAACTTGATTTACTACTCTGATGAGCTATTACATGCATTACATGTTGTTATTTTTTTAAATATATGAACCAATGAACATTTTATCTAATATATTTAGCATACTTAAATTGAGAAAATGCATTAAAATGAAGAAAAATATAGTTTTATCATTTCAAAGGAGTATTAGTGTTCACAAAACCCCTCAAGTTTTTTCTAAACGAAACATATTAAGGTAGGAAATGAACGGTTTCATTTAAACATCGAAGATATTCGATAATAAAATTAAACAAAATTAAAGGTTAGACAAACTTACTTTCAAGAAATAAGGTAAAAGTTTAATCTTCCTAACAATGACTAAACATAAGATCAAGGCTCCCGAAAATTCTTAAAAAAATAAAATAAAATAAAGTGAAAGAGCTATAGAAAAAATTCCATATTTGTCTGAAACATAAAGTATAATCTATAAAATCTTTGAGGGAATGATTTTCGTCTAATATATTTATATTTAAATCACATGTAAATATCATAAAGTATTGAATCGAAGTTAAAATATTGATTTCTTATTATATTTTATCATCTATTCAATCGTCATTTACATTATTTATTTTTTCTAGAAGATTTTAGAAAGTGGCTGTCGTGTGAATGTGTCTAGTCACTAAAATAGTGTATTGTCTGTGACTGCTTGCTTGGTGGGGTGACTTATCCATTATGGGTAAACAAGAAACCCGACTCTACCGATTCGAAGACGTTGTCCAAGAGAAGGAGATGAAAGCAATAATGCACTCCATATGGAGAGTATGATCACAGGACCGATACTCAAAGAAATTGACCGTAGCCTAATAAAAAACGTGGAAAAAGAAAATGAAGAAGTGTCCTCAATCAAGTACTAGTAGTAGACCCTTGCCGAAATTCCTAGTGGTCTCCTCTTGAATGCCCTATCATGTTTTTGGACGCACATTTCAAAATTTTAATATAATAATTGAAATAGATATTTGTAAATGATAAAATATCGTTATTTTTTTTTAAAGTTAAATAGACAAAATATTAATAATATAAAAATTTGATAAAATAGCAATCAATAATGGTAAATAAATAGTTTATAATATATTATTTATGTAATTAACTTTACAAATAGTGTATTATGTAAATATTTGATAAATTAAGAATATTGAAGATGACCGACACAAAGGAAAAGGGTATGCTTAAATGTGGGGTCATGATGAGTTGGAATGTCGTTAATCCACGTCAGTTCCACGACTTAGGGGTATAGCTGGGACCCACAAGTCTCCATATATATATATATTTTTTTATTATTATAATAATGAAGCTGGAGGGACCAGTGGAGCACGTGTGTTGTTATTGTTTTGTGTGGAACAACCTGGACGGCGTCGATTCCGGTTGTGTGAGATTACTTTACTTTTTAATTTTTAAATATGTAAATATAAAAAACTACGTTTTTAACCTTTTGTTACGACTATTAAAAAAAGTAATAATAAAAGTTTAAAATTAAAATTAGATGGTAAATCTTAATTAAATATTTAAATTAAATAAATATATGTTCTAAAAATTAATATTTTATTTTTATTAAAAACAAAAATGTAGACAGATAACTCATACCAATAAGTGTATTTTGTTCTCAGTTTCCACAAATAATTTTTTCTGACCCTTTTTCAAATTTGATAAATGTTGGTTAATTGTATATTTCATTATAGTTCTATGATTTAGAGTATCATTTCTTATTTGATCTCTTTGAATTCCATATTCAAAGTTGCGATCAGGTCTATTCACTAAAAAGAATTGATTCGATACATTTTTTAATTTGAAGTGTAGTTTGATGTTAGTGACCTTTAGAAAAAAAATCCTAAGATACATATGAGCTAGGATAAAACTCGTTTTGGTCTGTGGGAAAACGACTCGTGTTGATATGTGGGGATAATTTTCACTCTTAGAAGAGTAAGTAACACAACTATGTCGAAACAAAATACTAACCAAATCTAGATTATGAATTCTAGGCATAGGACTTTTGATTTGGGTAGTTATCGCTCTTTTCCCCATTAAGATCGGTGAGTAAAAACGTTGAACCGTGAACGATGCTTTACAACTTCCCATTCTCCATGGAATCTGATTCTTTACTTCACATTTGATGGAACCAAATTCATACCCATTTCATCAGAATCTATGAGCTCCCTAATAACCATTCCATATAGTTTCAAAAGCATATGAGAAGACAAGAATCGAATAGCAACCAAAAGCATGATCTGTGTATTAGAAAACTGAAACAGACAGCCAATTCCAGTTCTTACAACAGATTGGCAATGCAGAGAAGCAAGGCACACACTAAGAAAAACCAGAGGGCCTTGCTTATGGGGCAAACCCCAAATCCTCACTATGTACAACAATCTCAAAAACAAAAGAATTCATCAACTAACAATCTTTCAATTTGCTTAGTGTTATCATAGCTTTACACCTTAAGAATCAGGTGATTGTCTTCCCTTTTATTGCCTGATGTGTCCCAAGAACTATAAGAATATAGATCCTTTAATGTTCCTCCTTCCTTGAGATATGGTAACGGTGAACTTAATGATAATTCACCCGCCATTGCTAACCGTTCGAGCTCGGATTCGTCTAATCCTTTAGCTGGAAGGATGCTACATCGGTCGGTTCCGTGTTTCGCCAATGCATCCTTGAATTTCTTAATCTGCAATGCCAAAATGGAATATGGGAAGAATTAGATTCTAGCTATGGAGATTCTTTTCTTTGTGTTCAATCTGGTCATTGTTCTTACAGTTGAGATTGTACAGCTAAAGCTACAAACGCGACCTTCTCCACCTCTATAGAACCTGAAGAAGGGAAGAACACGTATATGGAGAGCTTGGCACATGGTTTTGAGCTCCTCAAAGTTAACTTTGAGAAAAATTGCATCAGGGTGTAACTCAGCTAGTTGACAGATCTGATATAGAAATGGATTCAATCAGCAAAATCCCAGAATCCCAAGTTCAAAATTGATGCCTAATGCATAACCCTAAACTTAAACTAGAACAAGAACTTAAGCAGCAAACAAGATAATATACCTTAGGATGAAGGGTTTTGCAACCTCCACAGCCAGGGGAATAAAAGTCAATAATGGCTAATCTATCACCAGCATCAAGCAATGCCTCCACGAGGGCTTGCGCAGAGTGGATCTCCACCATGTTAGGTTTCAAGCTCTTTTCCCACCATCTCTGACTTCGCCCAATACAGATAGAAGCCTGTGCCTGAAACCACAAATCAATTTCAGACCCACCACAACATTATCAAAGAGACACTAAATCTGAAACTGGGAATTATTACAAAGACGAAATCTGGGGCTTACATTGATGGTTAGGACATTTGGGGATTTAGGGTTCGAGTTTCTAACACCATTTTGATCCGAAACCACGACAGGTTTCCCCAAGAAATCGACGCGCAAAACAGGGAACCCCTTCTGGGTCGACCCTTTTAAATTAGCAGTACAAACCCCAGAAATCACAGACGATTTGGAAGAACGGAAGTTATCCTTGAGCCCGGAAACAGAGAGACCAGTCTTCAACGAACAAGCCATGGTGGAGAGAAATCAAAAGCAAAAAATGGAAGAACCCACTAAAAGAATGGCCTCAAAATCAATCTGGGTTGAAGCAGAATCGAGTTGGCAACAAGGAAGAACACGAAACCCACCTGTAATCCTTAAAGTAAGACCCAAAATCAAAAGAAGAAACAGTGAAGATGAGGAGGAAAGGGAAAGGGAGAAGGAAAATTAGAAGGAAGAAGGAGACATATAAAGAAGGAAGAAAGGAAGAAAATGGGAGAAGTGGGGCAGTCTGATTCGGATTAAACTTTATCCATTTGATCCAAAGAATCGAGAGAAAAGAGGGTAAGATTCGGGATTTGGATAGTGGGTTTTGTTTAAATTTGGACTTTATCCAGGATAATTAACGATTGATTTAAGTGGATTAGTATTTTGAATCTCTAAATTAAAGGCTAATTAATTGGGGATTAGGTCTGGATTATGAGGATGGAACGGAAATAACTCGATTACTGACTATAATTTTCCCGTTTTCGCTTATCTTCCAAATTTTTGGATAAGGATTTTTCTTTTTCTTTCTTTTTCTTTCTTCTTTTTTTTTTTTTTTTTTTTTTTTTTTTTTTTTTGTTGCAATTTTGAGTTTCCACGTATTTATCTTGCAAAATTACTCTGTTACCCTCCTCTGTCGTCGTTATCGAAACACACGTTAACCTAGATGCTGTGTTTCTGTAGTGTGTAATTACCATTTTGCCCCGACGTAAAGAAAAATAATATATATTCTTTACTCTTGAGTATCACATGACATGGGTTAGTTGGAGTGAGTTTTATTAATATATAATTTTTAAATATTAATATTAATTTTAAAATGTAAAGTTCTATCCTTAAAAAAATGAAATCATGATGATTACGTAAAAATAATTACAAATGAAATGGTTACGTATTGCATTATTTTTTATCTATTTAAAATATATATTTGTTCCAAATTATATACCAAACAAAGTGTTTTATATTACAATAATTACAATTTCAAAAAAAAAAAAAAGGTAGGATTTAGAAAAATTAATGTCTGAGGAATTTAATAACATGAGTATAGTTCTACTTATTATAATCGTAGCTAAGATTCTCCTAAATGCAGACCATCTTTACATAAGTACCCTAATAGAGGTGGCCTGCTTAAAGTCCGTAGATCGTATGATGACATTGCGTTCTCTCATCGAGTAAGATGATTCATCCTCATGGTATGTTTCACAAGGACATTGACATGACAATTATGCAAGGTGTATGTGGAGTAGAACTATATATTGACAGGGAAGAACTTATATCGACAATGGATGTAATTGTTGAATGATGAAAGTCTCGGCTAATTTAGGGAATGATCATGGGTTTATAAGTGAGGAATACTAACTCCATTGGTGTGAAGCAAAGCCATGAGAGCTTATGCTCAAAGTGGACAATATCATACCATTGTAGAGAGTCGTGTTTGTCTAACAGTAATAAGAGTTGTTAATGTGGAATTTTTTGGAGAATACCAACCTTCTTATAAGGAAAATTCGTCAATATATATATATATATTAGTTTCAAATCATTTAAATTTAAAATATTTTTAGCATGTGTTTGTAAGTTATATATATTAGTTTTTATTTATGAAAATGATATTTAGATTTTATAATTAAAAATATAAAACAAAGCTAATAAGATCCAATATTTTGGAAGTATTGAATGTCGAAGCCCACTTTTAATCTAATTTTTTTTTCTTTTTCTACTTTCTTCACAACTTTTGTTTACTTTAAATATAAAACATGTGACAAAAATTAATAATAGAATTTAGGTTATTTATTTATTTATTTTTATATATGGGTTTTTTTTAATTACAATAAATTTCCTAAAGTATTTTTTAAATAAAGATGAAAACGCTTAATTCTCTGGAATATTTATTAAAGCATATAAAAATTAACAACATATAGATAAAAGATGAACAAATTAAAAAATATAGAACTAAATCAATAAATGAACATTTAAAAATAAATAAATAAATAAATGAGGAGGAGGAGACAAGAGGAGAGGAGAGATGGAAGCATTTAGTGGGAACACGAGAGGAGTGTGGGGGTGTAAAAGTAAAATCCGTGGTTCCTATTTTGTAGGCTAATAAATAATCAACACATTTTTATTATATGGTCACGTCACATTTTCCAAAAAAAATATATGTACTCTATTGTCTTTCATTTCATTTATTTTTATGATATGATTCACTATTTATAATCTAATTTACGTCTCATACTCAATATATTAATTAATTCACAGTAAGTAAGCATTTTATTAAAATTCGTAATACGATTGAACAAGATAAATATATAAACAACCATATAAATTTGATAGAATATAATTGGATAAGTAATTACATTTTTCTATAAATACAATTACATATATATATATATATATTCCTTATGATCCACATATTTTTGTATGGCACATGGGCCGTGGTTGGGCCTTCAGACACAAAGGTTTGATAGACAAAAAAACATCATGAACTTGTTTGTTTTTTTTTTGTTTTTTTAGTTATTAAAAACAAAATAAGAACAAGGCAAGGACTAAGAATTCCTTTTTTTTTTTTTTTTTTTTTTT